CTAGATGAACTTTTTTTTTTTTTTTTCTGTTTTGCCATTAAATGTACAAAACAGTGGGCCACATGGGAAACAAGCAGGCAAACCATGTTATGTTCTGATAACATGATTTGTTCAAGTAAGAAAGCTGGCACCACCATGTGGGAATAACTCTGGGTGTATAAATATGCCTATGCCTGCCTCAGTTGCCAATCCTGCTAATGCATAACATCAGCATTTCAAAAATAAACAGCACACTGACAGCTTATTTATTTCCACAATACACTTTCTAAGTGTCCACTGCATCTTTCTTGCAGGAGTGGCCAAAGACAACTGGCCCTCAGTGTCATTCCACCATTATTGATAATTCTGGTTTGAATTAACCTTGCTTATTGCGTGCTATCACATGTCATTATCATTGTTAACTTGACATTCTCTCCATAATAATTTGAGATGGGAATACCGTGTGTAATCTTGTAATTACCAATTAATAAATTAATAATAACAATTCAAATATTTAATTTAATAATAGATACATAATTTAAGAATTCAAACATTCTCATACTTCAAAATTTGAATTTAAGTTTCACTTTTTATATTAAAAAATCTAATTAATAACAAAAACATAATTTTCTCATACATACAGTAAGCCCTACAATTCTGTTTAAAGAAGAAAGTTAAATTTGCTGAATTATTTAATTAGAAGCCAAAATGTTGTCCAAATGAATCCCTTCAAAGGTTAAACTGGTGTTGTTTGAGAGGTAACATGACCATACGCCATATACCGACCTCGACGACCAACAGCTGAAAGCAATCTTGAAATCAGCTGACTGTCGTAAAAAAAACATAAGATTCTGACGTAATTTCACAGATCCACATGGGCATTCCTTGAAATCCCAATTAACAAACGAAGAATATAGTAGTATAATATATATATATATATATATATATATTTAATTTTATTCTTTTAAAAGTTGGATATCCATGCCGGGGTTCTTTATTGTTACCGTTTGGCGTTTTCTTTCTTCCAAGGTTGACACACCAGTTCTCTAAAACAAATTTATTAACCTAATCGTATCACGTGATACTGTCTCTTGATCTTTTATTTAATTATTGATATTTTAGCCTGTCTTAAAAATAAAAAGGAAATTGCTGATGCCACTCTTTGGCATTTTTTGGAGTGGAGGACAGGAAATTTCTCACGAGAAAACTGCAAAGGGATTCTAATTTTTATACCCCAAATTTTGATTCAACTATTTTTGGGTATTACATCAAAGGAAAAATAAACAACTTTTTTTTTTTGGCTATTATAGGAACGAGATTGGCAATTGATGATCGACATTGATTATGTTTCAGTTGTCTAAATTAATTGCTTTCGTTTCTCTAAAATTAATTTTGTATTTCATGTCTCTTTCTTTCATGGACCCTGAAAAACAGCTTTCTTCTCCTTTGTTCCTTGGTTCATCATAAAGAGATTACATATAATTTACTATAAATATATAAAAATAAAAATTGTATTTCATGAATAAGTTTGTCACATGTCATTTAATTAATAAATAATTTTTATGAAAATTGTATTTCATGAATAATTAATTAAATATTAAAAAATTGTAAGTTGATAAAGTTGTTTTTTGCACAAAGGCTTTCTTTATTTTTTTTTTCAGTTTGCTAAAAAGCCAAGAAAAATTAAAAGGGATAAAGGGAGATTGGCGGGGAAATAAGAAGAGAAGAGAATGAAAACAAGAGGAAGAGCGCGTAGAATAAAGCAGACTTTTGTCCATTGGCTTGGACATAAGACTGAACAGTATGTACAGAAATGGAAAATAGGCGTGGCAATAACAAAAAAGAACAAGGCTGAAAATCGGAAAAACCAAGAACAAGGGAAAACGGCACCACAACTCGTTAAAACGACAGGGAAAGGAGAAGATTCGGATCATAATGCAGCATCTTTTTCCTTCTCCGTTTCTCCCTTTCTCATTAGAAAATAAAGAAAAGGAAAAGCGAAGGGCACGTGCCAGGTCACACGTGAGCTCTTTCTAATTTATTTGTACTTACAAAGAACCAACCCATCTAACGGTCTCTCCCTCTTTTCCTTGGTTGTTTTTTTCTTCTCTTTTTTATTTTGAAATTTCCAATCTGTCTAATTTGTAATTTTCCGTTTTCCTGTAAAAGAGGAGGCGGGGGGGCGGATGTGTGTGGTCAATCACCTTTCTTTCTCTTTCCCAAATCCAAATTATAAAAATTACGCGGTCTCTTACTCTTACCCTCTTCTTTTTTTTTTCTTCTCATTTCCTGTTTCTCTGGGGAGTCTCTCAGAGACCAAAATTAACGACGGACGCCCTTCATTGAGAGAGAAAGAGACAAAACTGTGAAGCTAGTTTCTAGGGCTTTTAATTTTTGTTTGGCTAGTTTCAGCCGTTTCCGTCGACGAGGATTGAGAAAGGGAAGACGAGAACAAACAAAAAACAAAAAAACGAAAAAGAACAGAAATAATAGAATGTCGGCATTGGACTCTGTCGATTGGCTTCTCTTCTCTCTCAGCAGAGCTTTCTGTAGTCCTCTCGCTGTTTTTATTCAGATCCAGGTTTGTGTTTTCATCTCTGCACAAAGTTGAGAATTAATCGTAAACAGAGCCAAATATTTGTGTTTTATTTAATTTAGTATGTGAGCTGAATTGTTTTCTGGTTCAAGTTCTCTTTTTCTTTTTTTTCCTTTTTATTCTGAGCTTTTTAACCAATTTTACGTCTTTTTTCAGCCCTTAAATCGATGCTTGGTTGGTTTCTTAGCTTCATAGCTTATGTATAGTCAGCTTATTATTTTTGTTATTTCTCCTTAGTATGTAACCCTAAAGATCTACTCTTTAAAGTATTTGCAATTTCCTTTTAACAGCGAAGGTGCAGGTTTTCCATTACCATTGGATCTAGATAGCTAAGTGTAGAACAATTTTTTTTTTTATAATTTACAAAAAGAAAAAAGATGGTAAATGAATTATTTCACTGCTTATGATATAATGGAGATGAAATGTTTGAAATTTGGTCATATAGGTGGCTGTTATTATGATAGTCAGCAATGTATCTTCAATTTCATTGTAATGATGATGAAGTTTGTAGATGAAAGTCCTTAATTTTACATTAGTCATGCAATTGGATGATACCTAGGCGATAAGAAGTTTTGTCAAGCTCTGAGTTGAGTTCTGTTTGTTATAGGATTGTAACCAAATGGAGTTGGAGGCTCCCTTTCCTAATTACAATTTCAATTCCATATAATGGGAACTTTATTTTGGTTTTACTGATATGTTTATGTTGTTGGAGGGCTGACATGTCAGTTAATGTAACAAGGGTTGTGTTATCGGATGGCAAACGAAGTCAGCTTCCAATCAATGGTTTATCTGAAAGAAAAGCTATTGAAACATCTTTACCTTTATACATAAATTAGCAATTACAGTTTTGAAGGAACTTCAATGGTTTGACTGATACATATTATCCATTTTGCTAGCTGATCATCTTCTGCTTTTGACTAATGGTTTCCTTCTTTATTATTTTGCAATTATTTTGATTATCCTAAATCAGTTGCTTCTTTGTCTCTCTCTTTCTCCTATTTAAAATTTAAGAAGGTTACCAATTTGAATTTTTTGTACATGATGTAGGGATGTGTAATCTGCTTGACTCTTGCTATTGGGTGGGCTTTTGCTGCTTCTGTCAGGTATGTGGTTTTAATGGCGAGAATTTAAAACACAGGCTGCCATGACTATTCTCTGTTGTCACATGACCTAGAAATTTGCCTATTTCATTTATATATATCTACATTTATTGCCCTTCACAGGAACAGAGAGATCAATCGAATGAAGGATATCATGAAAGGTGGCAATAGCTTTGCATTTCTATGCCATGATATTAATGAACTTGAGCACTCTAATCAGGTCAATCTACCAAGAGTTACGGTTGTGATGCCTTTAAAAGGTTTTGGAGAACATAATCTACACAATTGGAAGAGTCAGGTGCATACTTATCTAGAGGTGTCTTCTAAGTGCATGCTCAAAAGCCTGCATTTAGCTTTTCCTCACTCACATTTCGTTCATCAGAAAATGAAAAATTGTACTAAATTCCATTAATAAGTAGTAGACATATACCCTTTCTTTTTTCTTTCATATTGCTCTTCCGGAATTGATTAATTTAAAAGGTTTATTTTTTTGGAATATTTGCTTAATTATGGTTCATTGCTGGAGGCAGATCACATCTCTCTATGGTGGTCCTCTAGAGTTCCTTTTTGTGGTGGAAAGTACTGAAGACCCGGCTTACCATGCTGTATCTCGGTTAATAACAGATTTCAAGGTATACCATGAATTTTCTTCACCATGCATTTTCTGATTACATTAAGAAAACGAATCTGACAAAAAGTCAAATAAGATTGTTTTTACTATGCAATTCTTCATTCCCACTTTCACTGAAAACCCCTAAAAGACTCCATGCTCTCTCTCTCTCTCTCTCTTTTATTTTTTTATTTGAATGTTTGAGGGCTTCATTTGAGCTTCTTCGCTGTGGCTTCACTTGCCTTCCTGATTCGATGCATGTTTCTCTGTGCAGGTTGATGTTGAGGCTAAAATCATTGTGGCTGGTTTATCAACAACCTGTAGTCAGAAAATACATAACCAGCTGGTATGTAGCAACTTTACCAAAATGTTAAACAGATTTTGCAAATGACCTGGCCCTGTATATCAGTTACATTTCTATTAATATTATTGTTTAGACTACATGTCTTGTCACTCACTTGTACTTAGGGAAGACTTACTTTAAATCCTTAACTGAAGATGTCCTCTTTTGCTAATCCGCAATCATTTACGTTAGTCCTTGTATGTTGTTAAAATCACTCTGCTAGAAGTGTATTCTTTATAGTGCTTAATCATTTTGTTGTGGTATTTCTGTGAAGGTTGGGGTGGAGAAAATGCATAAAGATGCCAAGTATGTATTATTTTTGGATGATGATGTCAGGCTGCACCCAGGGTCAATTGGAGCCCTCACTGCTGAGATGGAAAAGAATCCAGAGGTATGTTTGTGCAGATCCATATACCTTCAATCAAAATAATTAGATTTTTCTCAACCTTTACTTGTGTGCCTCTCATGGTTATGGTGAATCAGATATAAACTATTGATTCTTTTTATAGTGCTCATGTTATTGGCAATTATTTGCAGATATTTATTCAAACTGGATATCCTCTTGATTTACCATCTGGAAGTTTAGGGAGTTACTGCATCTATGAATACCATATGGTATGGTGCCATCTATGATTTATGCTTTCTTCCCAAGATAGTGTATATACCTGACCATATCCGATATGTATATGGCTTACTGTTTATTCTCCTACTGCACGATCTACCAGCATCCGCTTGTAGATAAGTTGCAGCCTTTTATTACTACACAAGCGTTATGCTAGCTGATCAATCCTGAATCCCTCCCCAAATGATTAACACAGACACACACATCAACATGCATGCACTTCTTATTGAAATATCAAAGCAGCAACAAGGTGGGGCAACAAGGTGGGGAATATCAGCTCACGTGTGTTAATTTATTCCATGGCCCAAAGTTCAAACAAGAATAGAGCACTATAGATGGTCTGTTTGGGGCATAAGGGCGATTGCCTCATCTCTAACTATTATTTGATTTTGGCCAAGAGGTGAAGCAAATAGTTAGAATGAAAGGTTCCCCCCCTTCCCCCCCTTAACGTAGTTCATGAGTGGAAAAACTTTTGTTTTTTTATGTGCAACTGTGCGCTAGTTGTACATATTGAATTTGTTATTTTAATCTTTCTTTAGTAAGTTGATTGTTGTATCCTGTAGTTCATCTACTCATTGAACATTTTTATCTACAGCCTTGCTCAATGGGATTTGCTACTGGTGGTAAAACATTTTTTCTTTGGGGAGGGTGCATGATGGCAAGTAGCTCCTCCTATCCTTCTCAGTGTTTCCTGCACAAAGTTGAAGGATTATTCTGATTATTCTAGATTGTTTTTTCAGATGCATGCTGATGATTTTAGATATGACCGATATGGTGTGGTCTCCGGACTTCGAGATGGTGGATACTCCGATGATATGACTCTAGCTGCTATAGCTGGTAATACAGTCTCTAGTAAATCTTTGAGTAGACTAATAAGAAATTCAATATTTCTGTTGATATTAAAATTACAGCTTTGTACACTCATAGACATGCAACCTTTTAACTGCTCATATGTTGTCCTCTCAGGAGCCCACAAGAGGCTTATTACATCTCCTCCAGTTGCTGTTTTTCCTCATCCTCTTGCAAGTGATCTTAGTTTCTCAAGGTTCGCGACTTTTACCAATTAGGCTTTTCTATTATACTTATATCCATGTTGACTTTGACTTCTTGTCCAGGTACTGGAACTATTTGAGGAAGCAAACATTTGTTTTGGAATCATACATTAGCAAGGTTAATTGGCTAATGAATAAAGCACTGTTTTCTTCTCATTGCTATCTGTCATGGGGATTTGTTGCGCCATACTTGATGGGTATGGTTCATGTTGCAGCAGCACTACAAATCTGTATCAAGGGTTATTCATACGAGGAAACAACTTGTACTACTGGTGGTGAGCACACTACTTTTCCTTTTTGGGTAGGTCGTAGTATTAATTAATCCAGATGAAACCAATGCCTGGGGGTCCTGATCTGGACAACAATAGCAGTCTATTTGGTAGTTTTTGAGTAATAAGGGTTTGTTTTTTTTTCTTTGGCTGGGAGAGTACTGAGTTATACAGATAATTTACAAGTTCCCTTGACCCCCATCATATTGGATTTTTAGTGATTTAGACATACCTGTGTATCAGGGTTCCATAATTGTTTGCCTTTCCTCCACTAGAAATGTTTGGAGTAGCCCTTGCCAAATAATTGAAAATTCTTTTTAAATTGTATTTTTAGGTTGTAATTCTGCTGGTAAAGTATTCAATCTAATAAAATGGAAGCTAGAGAAGTAGTATACTACAATTGTGAAGTTGGAATTAGCTCCTGCAACTAAGCAAACTGCTTTTGCACAGGATTGTTACTAGTGAGCTGCCTAGCTGTATGTACCTTTATGGAGCTACTTTCTATGTGGAACTTAACGAGGATTGAAGTTCAACTTTGTAACATGTTGTCTCCTGAGGCACCTAAGCTGTCACTTGGTACTTACAACTGGAGCATGGTAATCAACTCTATCTCTTTAATATGGGGGTGGCAATGGGTATTATAAGTTGTGGCATTCTGTTGTTCCCCCGAAATTTAAGCACTTATCTCGAGTCTCTACTTTTTTAAATAACTGTATATGCACTCAGAGATTATACATTTATATTTAGAGTGATGAACATAAATTTTGGCCTTTTCATCGGATTCAATGCCTCATCTGGAATCGTGGGACAATCTCCTTAAGACTAGAATAGCAAATTATGGTAATCAAACTTTCTGCTTAAAAATAAAATATAAGTTATATACTTAAATCAACTAAATGTTTTTGATTGGAATTAAGAAGGCCTGATTTGAGTTGAAGCCTGGTCACTATTCGAGCTAGAGCTTGGATATGACATACTTTGTAGTATGTACTGATGGAAATGATATTACTTTGTGATTGAGCAGGTCTTTGTTGCAATGTTGGTTGATAACTTTTTATACCCCATCTCTGCCTTCCGTTCTCATTTCTCTCAATCTATCAATTGGTCTGGTATTCGATATCACTTGAAGAATGGGAAGATAAGCAAGGTATGTCAGTTGAGCATAGTGGTTAAGCATTCATAATAAGCTTTATGTAGTTGGCCAATGCTTAGCAGTGTTTGCCTATTCTGCAGATTGAAAGGAATAAGGATATGGGTCCAAATTTCACAGACTTGGGAGGGAAGCATTTATATGGGAAGAAAGGAGCTCCTCCCAAAGCCTCATTCCTCAGTTCTTTGGGCAGAAGTTTGGCTCAGTGGCATCAACCCAAAAAATACGATGTTTAGAGATGAGAGACTCTTGTGACTAGTTTTCCCTCCCCTTTTCGAGATCCGACAGGCACAAGGATTCAGGAGCAACGATCGATGGTTGATTGTTGGTGGATTATTTGGTGATTCCTTATTTGATTGATTTTAGTGGTTTAGGAATTTTAGCCTCATTTTTTAGTCCCCATTCAATCAATTTATTCTTAAATTATCAACCCTTGTTGGGGCTGGTTTTGTAATTTGCATTGAATTCATCCTGTAATTTTTACAAGTCCTTATATACAGTTAATGTTCAAATGTGAGACAGTAGTGTCGTGATTTACCCAACTCCTATCCCTCTCTAGTGAGTGAACATTCTGTTTATATTTATATAATTTTTCATTTCCCGTTTTCTTCTTTTTGTCAAATTTCAGGCAAATTAATCTCCTTGCCATCGCAACGGTGGATCACAGATGCCTGAGGCAGATTGGACCCCGACGTTCACAGCATACTAAAATTATTTATAATGATTTCGAACAATCAGAATTTTGGCTTTTCAGAATAAACTTGAAGGGTACGTATACCCAAACAATACAAAACACTTTTACACGGCAACCCTGTTCCTATATGTTTTCCCATGTAACTCCTTGAAGGGAACAAGATTATCAGAGCAAGGAGAAGTCACAAACTATTCAGTTGATGGAGAAAATATAGTTCAAGTGCAAGAGATCAACAACTGCTTAGTTTTCTCCTAGAAAGGAACTTAAAGTGTGCACAGCACGTAACAATGTTAGACTTGTGCGGCAGAAAAGCCAACAGAAGAATATCCTCAGAAGTGCTTCTTTTCTCCTCCCTAGTTTTACAACCCGATGGAGGGGTGCTTGGAATTTACTTCTGAAGATCTCCAATGTAAAAGTCATCAATCATGTCAAAGACGCGGCTAGCATGCTGTGGCCTGTCACAGACAATAAAAAGGATGGAAATACCAAGTAAGCTTTGGATGTATAATAGAGACTCTTTATAATGCTATGCATGACAAACTTTGCACTTGAGTACGATAGAGTAAACTGAATAAGAATATACTATTTATTACATTCTTTGGAAGCTGTAAAATACATAGATTTGATCCTCATTTATCAGTTTTATGTATCAATCCTATCTAGACATACATAAGAACCAAGCCCAGAACAAAGAAGAATTTAGCTAACCAATCCTAGAGGGGACAAAACTGAAAGAGGCAACATGAAACGTTTGAAATTTTGCTAAGTGTTTCCAAATAAGGAACAAATGCATACCCATAAAACCCTTCAGTTGAATCATCTCCGGCATGGGCCAAGATGGCATCACCACCTGGGTGTTCCTCTACATATGAGGTAACATCATAGACCTGCAGTTGTTAAGTATAGTAAAACAAACAACACAAGTGAGATATCTTAGTATCGTAGGAAGTTGCAAGTTCCAAGAATAGCAACAAGCCAAAGTCACCAATTACCTTGTCCTTAATGATGATCCAACAATCAGTCCTCTTATTATGTAGAGCTACCTCTGTTTTACGGTAGGATTTAGATGCCTAACAGAAAAGAAGAATATTTAAAAAGAGTTTGGAGTTACTTAGCGTACCTCCACATTAATAATGCAGCTAAGCATACATGAAATACTGTCTAATCTATTCCTGATATGCTAGATTAATAAATGTACAAACTATGAAAATATTTGAACTGTGAAAAACTGCAAAAATGTATGTAACTTATTTCAAAGTTCCCATCATTTACCTTAGAATTGTTACCATTGGATTGAACCTGGTTGGTATGAGCTGCATTGAAACAAACTTTCACCAATCAAGGAAAATCTGCATAACTTTTTTGTAACATTAAACCAAAGAAAACAAAGAGGCAAAACAAAATAAACTGAAGATTACCTGATTTACCATGCCGGGGTATCAAAATAAAAGCTCCAAGTAAGACACCCAGAATCAATGCTATCACAGCTATTGCCATATCTCACAATTCAGCTTCTTTTTACTGATCAACCCAGATTTACCCCATCGGCAATTTTAAAGAAATAGAGAAAAATGAGATAATCCCAGATGCAAACTGACTTGAAAAACTTCAAGCAGACAGCTCATTAGTAATTGGATGCTTAAAAGCATGTGCCAAGAGAAAAGGAAGGTTTTGGGTAACTGAGAAAATGAGAGAAATGCAAATGAAGAAGTGACTTAAAGAGAGTAAAAGCAAAAGGTTTTCACCTGGAATACGGATTCGAATCTTGGCAGTCCGGCGATCGCGCTCAGGGGACTAGAGACGGATTTGCCTATGAGAAGCTCTCCTGGTGTAGAATCTTTTGACTTCGCTGTCCCTTGATGTGATATTTTTCGGGTTTTTTTATTCATTTTTTTTTTGCTTCCCGGCCAGGTCCATATGCTGGAAACGGGTCAGGTTGACCCATTGATTATAAAGCCTGCACAAGCCCACAATTAGAAAGCGTATGAAAATTGCATTTTCTTTTTACCAAATACTATAGCCTTTGAAAATAAAAAAAAAAGGGTTTAATTCTGGAATTTTTCTTGTAATAGTTGGTCTAATATTTAATAAATTCCTAAGGTAAGATAACGGAGAATCTTTAAGTTGAGCCAAACTCGAAATGGACCTGCCAAAAATCTTACTTTTTCTTTTCAAAATAATTAGAAATAACATACATCATAACCCTACTACTACTAGTGTTGTGGTAACTTTTTTTTCTTGGTTTAATATTTAACTCTAGATTGAAATTAAGTTGGCTTGTAAAATTTTTCAGGAGGATGGATTGGGCAAGACTCCCATGTTGATTGATTAGTACAGTTGACAAGGTTTAAGACAACTCCACATTGGACAAAATGAACAGCACCAATGCATGGATAGCATATGGTTTGTGTGACATTATAGTTAATAATATAGAGTTCCAAAATGCAAGGTATAAATTGCCTTCGAAGCATTAGCAAAGAATAATTTAATTATTAGAAGGAATTTCGAATTTCTATCTCCTGTTCGTCTTGTTAACTACTTAAAAAAATTCATACGTCAAGCTCTCATTTGGCCTCCGCCGAAAGCAACACTCGTATCGAGTCCTATCCATCAGGAATAGAATAAAGTTACAAAGAATCAATCACAGCAAAACTTCCTCTGTTACCCAATTCCCCTTTTCACCTCTCTTCGTGCCTGTCGCTTTATATCCGAACTAGTTCCCTTCAAGAAAAAAGTTAAAACAGAAAAATGGGCTGTTTCAGGCCTAAGAGTTCCAAAACCTCCGCTCCTATGCAGCCTTCTTCAACTGAACCTGTTCTTGCATACCCGGAAAACAAGAATCTCCAACTGGAGGTTCTTTTGCAGATTGCAGGGTGCACGGTTCATCTAATGGATGAAGGAGAAGCCTTGGAACTCGCCAAGGGTGCGTTCACACTTGTCCGGATATTGGACGAGGGAGTTCCTCTTGCTACCATCGTTAAAGTTGGGGAGGATCTCCAATGGCCTTTGACAAAAGACGAGCCAGTAGTCAAGCTTGATTCGTTCCACTACCTGTTTTCCTTGCCGATGAAAGATGGGAATCCCCTGAGTTATGGAGTGACCTTTTCTGGGCAGTATGGTAGCAGCTTGGGTTCGTTGGACTCGTTTTTGAAGGAGCACTCGTGCTTTTCTGGTGCAGCTTCAACTGGGGATAAACATGTTGATTGGAAGGAGTATGCCCCCAGAATTGAAGATTACAACAATTTTTTGGCAAAGGCCATTGCTGGAGGAACCGGCCAGATTGTTAAGGGAATCTTCAAATGCACCAATGCTTATACTACCCAGGTTTGCTTTGGAACATCAAAATCAATCTAGCCTAGGCCCATTTATAATGTCATCCTCATTCTAGATAGCTAAGTGCATGTACATAGCATTTAATCATCCCAACTAAGTTATCTGAATTTGGAAAACAAAATACTAATTAAGTTTAGGCACGAGTAATGCACTATTAATCAGTGAACTTGCATTCTTACGCCATACTAACCAATAAGGAAACATTCATTGGCAAAACCGCTAAAAGCCTAAAAGGAAAAAGATTTGCCACGCTTTGAATTGCCTCGGTTAGTCAATCTAAAGAAAAGAGCGGAAAAAGCAGGTGCAGAAAGGAGGGGAAATCATTTTAACGCAAGCCCCTGCGGAGAATAAAGGGATCACAGCAAGTAATGGCTACAGAAGCAGCGGGGCCACAAGGAAGAGTGGAGCCAACAAAAGCCTAAAACGGTATCCTAAGACAAGAAAATTTTTCCCTTCAATTATCACGCGAACATGGCATATATTTCCATTAAGTCAAAAAGATGCATATATTATTGTTCCCTCTGGTACTGTCTATTGTGTAGTGTGAGAAAGCTGTCCAAAATGACTGAAAAGATGAGCAAAGCAATGCTTGACATGGTTGGCGTCGCTAGCGGAACAGTGATGGCACCCTTGGTTAACTCCAAACCTGGGAAAGCTCTCCTATCCATGGTTCCAGGAGAAGTTCTTTTAGCTTCCCTTGATGCTGTCAGTGAGTAATCGATAAAGCCAAATATTATAGCGCTTCATTTCTTTAAAATTGGGAGTATAGTAACATAGCATTGGTACAAAATATGAATCTTAATATCCCATCCTTTCACTGGTTGGAAAACTGTAAGGTGACTGCATTTTCCATTCTTTGTATGGCAGACAAGGTTCTAGATGCAGCTGAAGTTGCTGAAAAGCAAGCCTTTTCTGCAACCTCCACTGCAGCAACCAGAATGATGACTGAGAGGCAAGAAACAAAAAATTGCAACACAAAATTTTCATTTCCCATTTTCTTGGATAATATATTTGTTTATTTATGGTTTGAGCACCAGGTTCGGTGAAAGAGCAGGGGAGGCCACTGAAGATGTGCTAGCAACCGCAGGGCATTGTGCTAGCGCTGCTTGGAATATCTTCAAGATAAGGAAGGCAATCACTCCTTCATCGACTGCCACTTCTGGATTATTGAGCAATGCGGCCAAGTATAAAAGCAGGAAATCTTGATTCAAGTGATTTTCCTGTTCCACGAACACAAAAAAAGGTTTAAAAGGCTATATGTTTTTTATGTCAGCAATGCTAGTGATGCATGGATTTCACGTTGAAACTGAATCAAATCCTTTGAGTATTCTAAAGCATGTCAGACAGGATACCAAAGCACTCTGCCATGTAACTGTGTTTGGAATTGTCTATATATACAAATACTGAATCTGTCTGTATTTCCCCACAAATCTTTTTATTTTTTCACAAACAAAAGAACCTTTTTAATAATATCATATACCAAGCAATGATAATCAATTTAGTTAACTAGATTTATTTGAAAATAAATTAATTTAACTATGATTATATATATGCACCCGAGCATTTGGCTCTTTGACTGATGCATTATCTCTTATTTAAAAAATAAAAGTCGAATCTCTTTTCTTTAATTATAAAAAAAATAAAAAGAAAACTATGATTATGCATATCTCATAAACAATTTGACTAAAATTTTTTTTATTGATTTCTCTTAATTTCTATTTACTTTTTTTAAAAAAAATTCATGAAGGTCCTTTTTACTATTGAACCATAACATAGTCTATAAAAATCTTTGAAGTAGCAAAATGAATCATAATTTAAATTATCATTTGTTTAATTTTATTTAAATTATTTTTTTATATAAAAGAAAGTATATTATTAGTAGAACACAAGATTTCAATCAAAATCCCCTATCAATCTAATTTATCCATTTTGGCAATTCTTTTGTTTTTAATTATTAAATTAAATATACTTCTGCACCACCAGAGCTAGAGGTAGAATAATAAAAACCGCTCTTTAATCGGCCCAGAGCGGTTCAAAAGTGTTGCGTTTCGGCTACCCCTCTGCGCCTCTGGCTCAAGGATCGCGACGATCCTCCCAACTCAAACGACAGTCGTTTCATGGTATCAGTTTTCAGTTGTCAGTTGCACGTTACATATCACCTATCACTTTACCCACTTCGTCTCTCCAACGTAGATGTGATAACCAGATCGTGCTGTGTCCGAAAACCCCAGCCCTAAAGGAGACCAAAAAAAAAAAAAAAACTCAGCAAATAAACGTCAAAAATGGAAAATGAAACAAAGCTAAGCATATACAGAGCAGCGAGGACAATAAAACGCAAAGACAACACTGTCTACAACGCACTAAGATCAATTTACGAGGACTCAATCTTTGTCGGCGAAATCTCCCAGCTGTGGCCCCAAGTACCCCTCGTCGCCAACCTCCGTTGTGGTCTCTGGTATTCTCCGAAATTTCAGTCCACTTGTTACTTTAAATCCACCGACGGTCACACCAATAATTGGTCTTTTAATACCTCCCGTCTCAACTTCCATATCGCCCTTCTCGCCGGTAAAAACAGAAATAAATAAGTTAAATTTCTTATCTTTTTTCTTTGTAGATGTAATTTGAAATGAATGTTTTTTGGGGTTTTTTTTTTGTTATTTATTGGTAGGACAGAAAGGAGGATGCATTATAGTTGATTCGACGCGGAGAGGAAAGCGGTTCCCTGATAGTATGTCGAAAACAATACCTATTTGGACGTGTGTTTTGAATCGCTCTGTTTCTAATTATTTGAACAAGCTGCGTAATGAATCTAATGATGATGGCTCGTTGCTGGAGCGGGTGAGTATTGGTAATATTCTCTGTTTAAAGTTTCTCAAATTTGTTGAATTTTGCATCACTTTCAGTAGTGCTTTCAATCTTGCTTGCAGTTGTCGAATTTCAGGTTTTGTGTTTGTTGAAATGTTTGAGGTTACATAATAACCTGAGTCATTTAATTCTTAATGGCCAAAATTCTTGTGAAGGAATTTCTTTTTTCCCCCTAAAAATGCTGTTTGCATCTATCAAGTTTCAAGTAACTATCATTTTTAATATGACAAGAACTTGATCAAGTGTTAGGGCTGAGACTGCATGACTTGCATTTATGCTTTTTCTCTGGGTTGAGGTGTGATGCACAGAAAGCTGCCTCATTGATTGAAAGTGACTGCATTTTTGTAGAAACATGGAAGCACTTTCTTGTTCCTGTCTTCTGACTTGCTTCTCTGCAGGATTCAGATGCAGGGCAGAATTCTGTTGATTGGGATTGTTCATTGCACCTTCCCCTTTGGGTTTCTGGGACAGAGAAGGCAGCAATTGAGGATCGCTTAGAAGGATGGACTAAAGACCTAGATGCGAGTGGGGCTGATATTGCGGCTCTCGCCTCGTGCTTCAAAAAGCCCTTGCGTCCTTTATGGATTTCTCAGAAAACTGTCATCTGGATAAATGAAGTACCTGATCATGATTCTTGGGATTTCACACCAATAATTCTTGTTTCTGCCTCTTCCTCTACTGGTGTAACTCAACATAGGACTACCTCAGAGTTTAGCTGGAATTACATACCAGGAGCTGGAGATGATGAAGAAAGCTGGGCTAGGGGATTGTCTCCTAATCTCTTTTGGAATCATGCCTATGATCTTATTAGCTCTGGGCCTGATTTGTGTAACCAGAAGGTTGCTGATATAGTTGAGAAGGACAGAGTATATCGTGCTCAAAGGGGGCAGAATGCTCCACAGATCACTGCCAATCCCCCAATATCTGGAACTTCACCTAATCTTCCTTGTTTAGACGCCCTGTTATGTTCAGATATTTCAAACCTTAACATTAGCTCTTCTGATGAAGAATGTGGAATATTTTGGCTAGGATCTACTAATGTTGCTCTGGGCTCATCTCAAGTTGGTATGATGAATTGGCAATTCCTCGCATTGGTCATCCATTCTTACTACTTTCATTTAGTTACAAAAATTTGTTGTTTGTCTTTTTTTTTTTTAGTTATACATGTAGATGATCCTCACAAGATTACTCCTTTGGTAAAGTCTATAAAAGAAACGCATTGAGATTGATGTACAGGCTAAAATCAAAAAGAGTAGGTGACATATTTCTGTCATCCTGTCTGATAAATTTGTTTAGCACTTGTTTTTAATCTTTTCCCAAGTATGAGATTTTGTTCATATTTCTCTTTATTCTATCTCATTGGTGAATGAGCTGATGGATGAAGCAGTTTAATTGACAAATTTCCCTTAGAGATTCTAAGTGAGTTGATGCATGTTGTCTGGGAACTTGCTGTCTGCAATAAAATTCCACACAATTGATCCTGTGGGACTGAATCTAATGTAACATTGATAAGGATGCTGAATTCTTTAGAAGAGTGGAGAAAATGGTTGTGTGTAATGATAGTGATGTTGGTGGTGCCAAAAGTGGACAGTTTATGGTGGTTGCAGTGTATGTATTTGCTAGACTAGAATCAGATCTTTGTTTACTTGTTTATTTCTCTTTCTATCCTTTGTGTCAGTGACACCAATCAAGCAGTAAGCTCTTTGTGTGATTTTCTAGTGCCTAATACATTGTTTTACTTATATGGTGCAGCTGAAAATGCATCTAATGTTGATTGCATATTGAATTGTGATCAAAGGTCAATTTCCGTCTGTCTTTCGGAGGCTGAAGCATATTTGCATCTTCCTATTGTGGTCTGTATGCAAGTGAAGTTGAAGCATGAATTTGTTTATTATCATTTTTGTATTTTTCCTGCTTACTTTTGTTTCTTCTGTCCAGAATTCAAAATTGGATCGGTTTTCTTTGTTTAATAATCTTTCTTCCGCGGTTAGCTTTGCAAAGCTGAATGTTACAAAAGGGAGAACACTTCTTATATGTTGCCATGATGGTAAATGTCCCATTTTCCTAATCAAACTATCTTTTTCTTTTCAACCATCTTTGGTTGAGCTCTGTAATTTTGCAGTCATGGAAAATAAAATGGATTGATTTGTTTGTATGATATTGGATAGCACTGAAATAGCCTCTAACATGTTCTTATGCATCTGTTATCAGGGGAAGATATTAGTGTATGCATTTGTCTGGCAATCTTGATATTGTTATTTAATGATGAAGGTATGCCATCTTACACTAACTTTACATGATTTCACTAACGTTACAATCTTTACTTTTGTCTATTAGAATAAAAAGAAGCCAAGCTTCATTTAAAAGCTTTACAAACAACCAAAACAAAGCTATTAAATTGGGATTCACGTATGACTGCAAGGATGTTAAGGATATTATATGCATCAGTCATGCATTTCTCTGCAAGATGTACCTCTTCCAAGAATGTTACTGTGCTATAGTTTTCACAACTATCATACCCTTGTACAATAGCTTGGTTTTAGCATCATTCTTTTGTTTTCTGCATTTAAAGTTCTTGGGTGATTTCTCAACTTTTCACCATTTTTCAGGGTCATTTGATGGTGGCAAATCCTTCAGTGAGACATGTATCACGAAATGTGAGATGCGGCGGCGACTTGTGTATATTTGTAGATTTGCAATAAAGGCCCGGCCATCCAGAGGAAACCTCAAACAAGTCTTCAGTTTTCTTAATAGTGGAAGAGTCGCCTAAGTCCTGGATGTTTGATCAGCTCTCTTCAGATGCATACACTGAAATGATACTGACTGGCAGAATTTTTACTCAATTGTAGTTTTCAGAAGAGCCAGAAGATCTTTGGTGAAAACTGAAAGTTTTGCATTGTTCTTTTCTAATGAATATTTTATGTACCAAAAGAAATTAAATGAATGTTTGGGCAAAGTCAGAAAGGGAATACTACAACGTACCCGAAAAAAGAAAGACAATTACTTTTTACAAACATTGTTGTATTAGACTCTCGTATCAAGTTATGTTTTCTGATAAGGTGTTTTTATTGACCACCAGCATTAAATATGAATTGCATCCCATGGAAATTGCTCTTTTTCCGGTCTCTTCTCCTTTCTTGTCTTGTTGGGTTTGATTGATTGTATAATATGGGCCACTTCGAGTCTCAAAGGCAAGTCCAAGTATGATTATAGTAAATTAAGAATGCTATTAACTTATAATCAGAAAGTTAATACTACTAATAATAATGATAATAGAAGTAGCTTGTAACTTCAATTGTAACAACCCCTATATCAAAATCCTTCATAAGCAAGCTTGAACTCTTTGGGAATGGCTTAGCTTCTTTTGCATGGAGGTTTTGGAGTGTCACAAATTATTTATTTACTTCTGAATCTCATTCAATTTTTTTATAAAGACCATTTTCATACAAGAGAAACACATTCTAACCACCCTTTTTTTTGGTCCAAGGTAGTAGCAAGGGGCTTTAGGTCCCTGTGCTTAGTTCACTTGACTTGCAATTTGCAAAATTTCAGATTAAAAGCAAAA